TCCCACTTTCGAGTTCAATTCTAGATTTGTAGATAGTATTTAATTGGTGATCAAGAAATGAAATAATTAAGTGTAGGATTGAATAAATAAACTAATATGATAAATCAAGAAATGAAAATCAATATTTGAATAATAATAGTCATGAAAGAACCACAACCCTAGAACGTAAAGTTTAGCTTCACATAGACATGGTAGCCAAACAACAAATCATATAAAGAAACATAAAAATTACTAAGTTTGGCGGAAGAAGATGAAATCCAGCCTCCATGGCGGCTCCTTGCTCTCCCTAGGCCGAATCCCCTTCAAAGAGTGTGTTCCATGACCTAAAAGAGGCGTTTTTAGATTATATATTGCGTTTAAAAGTCGTGGGCCAAAGTTTTCCTTTCATTTTCCAAATCAGCTTCAGGGATTGATATTGAGTTGGATGCTTCGAGTCCGCCTTAGCTTGAACTTCTCAGCATCGGATGATGGGGTGGATGCTTCACGCCTACCCTCTATTCCCTCAACCTCGATGTGCCTAGGTGTGGATGTTAAGGTGGATGCCTTCTCAAGACTTCATTGTTATTGGTGCTCCAAATAGACCTTTTTCCAAGGTTGGATGCGACGCATCCACCCTCTTCTCCTATAGCTGGAGCATCTTTTCTTCATAATTTTGCTCTCCAAACATCCTAAATCATCACACACAACTAAATTAGTCATAAAACCAATAATTAACACATGTTGGACATTTTTAACATCAAATAGCACCAAAAAGCGGTTAAAACTTGGGTAGAATAACATTAAAACATATAGAAATATGTCCAACATTACCTTCCAACTTGGAGTCTGTGCATCCAGTCTTTCATGTGTCTATGCTACGTAAGTGTATCGGAGATCCTTCTAGAGTCGTGCCAGTTGATGATGTCCCGGTCATAGAGCAGCTATCATATGAGGAAGCTCCCATTTCTATAATAGATAGAGAGGTTTAGAGATTGAGAACTAAGGACGTAGCTTCGGTTAAAGTACTTTGGAGGAACAAGAATGTGGAGGAGATGACTTGGGAAGCTAAAAAAGATATGAAGTTTAGGTATCCTCACTTGTTTCTGCTTCCAGAGGATAAGACTGAGACATCACATCGTTTAGGTGCATATATGTTACCAGATTCTTATGTTAGATACTATCATTGTTCGTGTGAGCCCATTGTTATCGGTGATTGTGTCTCTGTGTGGCTTTGTATTAGTTGGTTTGTTGCGTGACAGGTTGATAGTAAGTAGTACAGTTACAGAGGAGACTCTACCAAAATTTCTATAAATCTTTGGGAGTTTAACATTCGAGAGGCCTAAAGGGGGGGATGCCCTGGCCTTTGGATTTATTCATAGAACAGTGGCCTGGATAACAAGGGCGGTATTAAAGTATTCGTAACACGCATCAGTCAATATTCGAAGACAAATGTTCCAAAATGGGGAATGATGTTACACCCTATGTTTTCGTACGCAAAAGTACGGCGTAAGTCAATTGATGTAATCTCAGAAATGAGATCCTATTTGAAAGTATATAAAGTAATTTAATGATGTTACATCCCGTATTTCCATTCAACATATGCACGAATAGGTTAAGGACATACACTTAAATGTGAGAAAGGAGATTTGAACAAATAAAACCAAGCTGCTTGCTTACCCGACGTGCCTGCTTCACCAACTTACTTTTCATCCTACTTTCTTGAGATACTCAACACATGTCTAAATTATTTAACGAGGATGAGACACATGTTTAAAAATAGAAAAAAGAACCAACATGTATCACCTACTTGATTAAGTAGGTGCATCACCTACTTAGAGTTTGTGGACAAAATTAAAAGGGAAAGGGAAAGGATAGAGATAGGCAGCCAAACCCATCTGTCCAAGCCCATTAGTAGGGCTATATATACATAGATATATCTATATTTCACTTAGAGAATAATTTAGAATCTCTCTCCATCTATTGCAATGTGAAGAAGCTCCAAAATATCATCCCAAAACCTCTCTCAACGTTATCCTAGGGTTCAAGACCAAATCCACAAGTTGGTAAGGTGATTTCTCTCTTGGAAGATCAAGATCACCTAGTTATCTTTCTATTTTGTTGTTTGGGGTAAAGAACTTACTTAAACTTGAAGTAAAACTTAGTTGGACGAGTATTCTTGTTGCCAAGGTAAGGTTCAACTTCTCCTATATGTATTTAAGATCATCTATATATATCTGGTTGGTTTGATAAAAGAAACTTGTGAAGTAGGTTGAACTTCATGTTGAAGTGTTGTAATTGCTGGACTATTTTGGAGTTGAAATCTTGATGTTTTATGGCTGGAAATCAGTAGAAATAACTTAATAATACTATTGCTATTATGGTTGAAGAGAAGGCTTGGAGAAGTGTTGTTGATATTGTAGAACCGAGTTTAATGCTCATTTTTTGTTAGTGTTGCCGTGCCATTATTGGTTTGTAGTGAGCATATTTCTAAATTGAAATTGTGGTTGGGTTACTCGAGAATGAGCCTATTTATATATTGTTTGTTGTGTTGTTTTATTTGAGGAAAGTGAAAAAGAATAAGGGGAGGTGTTGTCCAAAATTTCGTAGACGAGCTAGTCGCTCATTTGTGTTGAGTTCTAGCTTTCGTAATGTAACGAACCGGTCGGTCATTTTGAGCTCTAGTGCATCGTTCGGCTATTTGAGGCGTTGAGTAGCCTTACTTTATTTATTATAGCTTGTACACATGTTGGAATTGAATTTCTGGAAGTTTGGAGTTGATTTGGATGGAAAATTCGCATTACGGATGCTTTAAGTTGGAAGAGTTGACTAAGGTTTGACTTTTGAGTAAACTACCTAGGAATCGAGATTTGGAGGTTTCAATAGGTTCGTATGATGATTTTGGACTTGGGCGTATGTTCGGATTGAGTATCAGGTGGTCCGAGAGCATTTTGGCGCTTAATATGGAAAGTTGGCATTTTGAAGGTTTAAGAATTTCTTAAGTTGATTTAAAGTGGACTTTGGGGCTATCGATGTATGTTTGGGGTTTTGAGCCTTGGAATAGGTTCATATAGTGATTTTTGACTTGCACGTAAAGTTTGGCGTCATTCCGGGATGATTAAGTGTAATTAGGACGCGTTCAGCTAAGTTTGAAGGTTGGAAAGTTAAAAGAAATGTTTTGGAGTCGATTCATGATTTTGATGTTGTTTGACATGATTTGAGGCTTTGACTAAGTTCTTATCGCATTTTGGGATGTGTTGGTGTGCTTGGATGGGGGGTACCAGGGGCCTCGGGGGTGATTCAGATTGGAAATCGGGATGAGTTTGGACTTGGGGAACTGCTGAAGTGCACCAGGTCTGTTGCAATCGCACCTACAAAGGATTTTGTCGCAGGAGGAGAGGTATGGCCTTCTGCAGATGCGAAGGCCTGAGTGCAGGTGCGCAACCGCTGGCGCGACCAAACCTTCCATAGAAGCGGAGCGGGCAGGCTGGTGAAGCCTCGCAGGAGCGAGCATTTTTCTGTAGAAGCGAGGATAGCTGGTCTTAGAGGGGACCGCACCTGCGATGGATTGTTCCGCAGGTGCGGAGTCGTAGGTGCGATTGGTGGACCGCAAATGCGAAAGTTGCTGGGCAGTGGGGTGCTTTTAATTCGAGACTTAGCCCATTTCTCCCACATTTTTATTTGGTTTGGGAGATTTTTGGATCTCTTCAAGAGGGGATTCTCATCATCTATTGCAAGGTAAGTACTTCCCACGTATTGTAAGTTAATTTCAAGGATTTCATAAGGATTTAAACATGAAAATTCGTTGAAATTATGAGATTTTAAGACAAAAACCTAGAATTGAAAATTTTGGATTTTGACCACGGTTTTAGAAATGGAATTAGGAATAAATAATATATTTGAGTTTGTAATGTTATGGGTAATGTATATCTTCGAATATTTTCGGAATCCGGGCACGTGGGCCCAAGGGTTGACTTTGTTGACTTTTTGAGCCGAGTTGGGAGGTGTTACAAATAGATTAATTGTGATGTTGGAGTATATTGGTATTGGTTTTCATGATTGGTTGACTAGCTTTGGGTCGACGGGCATCGGTTTGAGGTGTTAGAGTGGCGTTGGAGCCTGTTGTGGAACTTTGGAACGAGATAAGTCTCATGTCTAAAACCTTGTGAGGGGGAAACTACCCCCTAGGTGAAATAATTGTTATGTGCTACTAGTTTTGGGTACTACGTATGCAAAAGGTGACGAGAGTCCGTACATAGATAAAGCATGTTTATGTCCGGGTAGACTCGGGACATTATCATGTAATATGTGAATTACTTGAACTCACTCTGCTGGATTAATTAATTGAATTTATAATTAAAATTGATTTGGAAATATATATATATATATATATATATTATGTGTGTGTGTGTGTTAAATCGAGCCTTATCACCTTGAGTTGTTTGGCAAGTTATTGGAGAAACGGTAAAGGTTATATTCACTTTGTGCTCATCTACTATATTGTAAGCATGTGTCTCGTAATTCGATGACTTCCTTCCTTTCTTGTGTAGCGGGCCGAATGCCTCGGCAGTATAATAGATGAATCTATGGTTCATTCTGCTCGGCCCTCGGCAGTGTACATATTATTCTAGATCGGGCCGAACGACCTCGGCATAATCGTACGTTATATCGCGGGCAGTCCGAATATTCACGAGATTATCTTTCCACTAATGCCTAGCACTTTGTATGATATTCCTTATTCGTTTGATTCTGGCAATTGATATATCTGAGTTGTTGAGGTAGAATACAAGACTGAGAAACTCATACCTCTAAAAGAAATATTTAGAAGATTATCTAACTTACAGATTTACCCCATTATTGATGTGTGCTTCATATCTGCTTATGATTTATTATATTGCTTTATTGGACCTTTAGTAAGTAACGATGTCGACCCATCGTCACTACTTCTCCGTGGTTAGGCTAGATACTTACTGGGTACGCACTGATTTACGTACTCATGCTGCACTTCTACACTAAATGTGCAGGATCTGACATGTTCATCTGGTGGTCATCTTGGCGCGTAGGCGCAGCTGCAGAGGAAACTTTATAGTGAGCTGCATTTCAGGCTATGCATCGCAGCCCACAGAGTCTTCATCTTACTATTTACTTTATCCTGTCTTATTTACATTCCGGACATATGTTGTATTATTATTATATTCCTTAGCAAATGCTCATGCACTTGTGCACCAGGTTTTGGGATGTTCTAGAAGTTGTTTGTGATTTTGCTTAGCATTTATACACTTTTATTATCTATTCACTAAAATTTTAATTTTCCATGATTTTTAATGCGTTGATTTCTTTATCTAATAAAATTCACGATTTCGAAAATAATAAAGTTCATAATTAACTTGGTAGTTCACCGTGGGCTTGCCTAACGACGACGTTGGGTGCCATCACGGCCTATTGGTATCAGAGCGTTAGGTTCACTTGGGTCTCACGAGTTATGAGTAAGTCTAGTAGAGTCTTGTGGATCGGTACAGAGACGTTTGTACTTATCTTCGAGAGGCTACGGGGCTATTAGGAGCACTTCCCTTCTTGATTCCTCTTCGTGCAGTTTGATTCCATTGTATCTTATGCCTTTATTTCCTATTACCTGAGCAGCCTGTACTCGGTGAGATGAGATTATTGGACCTGAGATCAGTGCGATCGGAGTTAAGTAGGGTATATTAAAGAGAAAATATTATTATTCAATTCAGAATGAGGTAATGGTGCTTGTCAGGTGAAGAGACCCCATGATTTATTGTTTTGGCAGGTGGTTATGAGTTTCTACACATCTCTTTTGTCGTGGTGGTATTACGAGAGTAGGAATAGGGATTCCATATGTTGTGAGGCGTATTGCAGTATCAGATTCATAAAATTTCAGCTATTGTGGTCGGATGATGTATTATGGGCATGTGAATTATACGGTGCATGGTGTGAATTCAGCAAAGGTGTATGATCATGTTTTGGTACAGTGTGTAGTGATTGATACGGTGTTAGTATGTTAGAATCAGGTCTTGTAGAGAAATTCAGAGGTTGGAATTTGGTTCTAAGGCTTATAGACTAAATAAAAGGGAGGATCTTCAGTCTGGCTCGATCTAATGTGCTAAACTGGGGTGTGGTGTCATGGGAAGGTGCACAAGGTGTTAACAAAGATTTTGGGGAAACTCTAGAGCAGTTCTTAGCACGTTCGAGGAAGAACGTATGTTTAAGTGCGAGAGAATGTAACGACTCGACCAGTCGTTTTGAGGTCTAGCGTGTAATTCGGTGGTTTGAGGCCTTGAGTAGCCTCACTTCATGTATTATGGCTTGTACGCATAGTCGAAATTAAATTTCAAGAAGTTCGGAGTTGATTCGGATGGAAAATTCTCATTTCGGAAGCTTTAAGCTGGAAGAGTTGGGAGGTGATACAAATAAATTAATTGTGATGTTGGAGTATATTTGTATTGGTTTTCATGATTGGTTGACTAGCTTTGGGTCGACGGGCATCGGTTTGAGGTGTTAGAGTGGTGTTGGAGCCTGTTGTGGAACTTCGGAGCGAGATAAGTCTCATATCTAAAACCTTGTGAGGGGGAAACTACCCCCTTGGTGAAATAATTGGTATGTGCTACTAGTTTTTGGTGCTACGTACGCACAAGGTGACGAGAGTCCGTACGTAGATAAAGCATGTTTATGTCCGGGTAGACTTAGGACTTTATCNGGTTATATTCACTTTGTGCTCATTTACTGTATTGTAAGCACGTGTCTCGTAATTCGATGACTTTCTTCCTTTCTTGTGGAGCGGGACGAACGCCTCGGCAGTATAATAGATGCATCTATGGTTTATTCCGCTCGGCCCTCGGCAGTGTACATATTATTCTAGATCGGGCCGAACGACCTCGACATAATCGTACGTTATATCGCGGGTAGTCTGAATATTCACGAGATTATCTTTCCACTAATGCCTGGCACTTTGTATGGTATTCCTTATTCGTTTGATTCTGACACTTGATATATCTGAGTTGTTGAGGTAGAATACAAGACTGAGAAACTCATACCTCTAAAAGAAATATTTGGAAGATTATGTAACTTACAGATTTACCCCATTATTGATGTGTGCTTCATATCTGCTTATGATTTATTATATTGCTTTATTGGACCTCTAGTAAGTGTCGATGTCGACCCCTCGTCACTACTTCTCTATGTTTAGTCTAGATACTTACTGGGTACGCACTGATTTACGTACTCATGCTGCACTTCTACACTAAATGTGCAGGATTTGACATGTTCATCTGGTGGTCATCTTGGCGTATAGGTGCAGCTGCAGAGGAAACTTTATGGTGAGCTACATTTCAGGCTACGCATCGCAGCTCACAGAGTGTACTCGGTGAGACAAGATTATTGGACCTGAGATTAGTTCGATCGGAGTTAAGTAGGGTATATTAAAGAGAAAATATTGTTATTCAATTCAGAATGAGGTAATGGTGCTTGCCAAGTGAAGAGACACCATGATTTATTGTTTTGGCAGGTGGTTATGAGTTTTTACACATCTCTTTCGTCGTGGTTGTATTGCGAGAGTTGGAACACGGATTCCATATGTTGTGAGGCATATTGCAGGCATCAGATTCGTGAAATTTCAGCTATTGTGGTCGGATGATGTATTATGGGCATGTGAATTATGCGGTGCATGGTGTGAATTCAGCAAAGGTGTATGATCATGTTTTGGTACAATGTGTAGTGATTGATACGGTGTTAGTATGTTAGAATAAGGTCTTGTAGGGAAATTCGGAGGTTGGAATTTGGTTCTAAGGCTTATTGACTAAATAAAAGGGAGGATCTTCAGTCTGGCTTGACCTAATGTGCTCAACTGGGTTGTGGTGTCATGGGTAGGTGCACAAGGTGTTGAACAAAGATTTTGGGGAAACTCCAGAGCAGTTCTTAGCACGTTCGAGGAAGAATGTATGTTTAAGTGCGGGAGAATATAACAACCCGACCAGTCGTTTTGAGGTCTAGCGCATAATTCGGCGGTTTGAGGCCTTGAGTAGCCTCACTTCATGTATTATGGCTTGTACGCATAGTCGGAATTGAATTTCGGGAAGTTCGGAGCTGATTCGGATGGAAAATTCTCATTTCTGAAGCTTTAAGCTGGACGAGTTGGGAGGTGTTACAAATAAATTAAATGTGATGTTGGAGTATATTTGTATTGGTTTTCATGATTGGTTGACTAGCTTTGGGTCGACGGGCATCAGTTTGAGGTGTTAGAGTGGCGTTGGAGCCTGTTGTGGAACTTCGGAGCGAGATAAGTGTTCGGGTAGACTTAGGACTTTATCATGTAATATGTGAATTACTTGAACTCACTCTGCTCGCTTAATTAATTGAATTTATAATTGAAATTGATTTGGAACTATATATATATATATATATATATGTGTGTGTGTGTGTGTGTGTGTGTGTGTGTGTGTGTGTGTGTGTGTGTGTTAAGCAGAGCCTTATTACCTTGAGTTGTTTGGCAAGTTATTGGAGAAACGGTAAAGGTTATATTCACTTTGTGCTCATCTACTGTATTGTAAGCACATGTCTCGTAATTCGATGACTTCCTTCCTTTCTTGTGGAGCGGGCCGAACGCCTCGGTAGTATAATAGATGCATCTATGGTTCATTCCGCTTGGCCCTCGGCAGTGTACACATTATTCTAGATCAGGCCGAACGACCTCGGCATAATCGTACGTTATATCGCGGGCAGTCCGAATATTCACGAGATTATCTTTCCACTAATGCCTGCACTTTGTATGGTATTCCTTATTCATTTAATTCTAGCACTTGATATATCTGAGTTGTTGAGGTAGAATACAAGACTGAGAAACTCATACCTCTAAAAGAAATATTTGGAAGATTATGTAACTTACAGATTTACCCCATTATTGATGTGTGCTTCATATCTTCTTATGATTTATTATATTGCTTTATTGGACCTCTAGTAAGTGTCGATGTCGACCCCTCGTCACTACTTCTCCGTGGTTAGGCTAGATACTTACTGGGTACGCACTGATTTATGTACTTATGCTGCACTTCTACACTAAATGTGCAGGATCTGACATGTTCATCTGGTGGTCATCTTGGCGCGTAGGCGCAGCTGCAGAGGAAACTTTATGGTGAGCTGCATTTCAGGCTATGCATCGCAGCCCACAGAGTCTTCATCATACTATTTACTTTATCCTGTCTTATTTACATTCCGGACATATGTTGTATTATTATTGTATTCCTTAGTAAATGCTCATGCACTTGTGACACCAGGTTTTGGGATGTTCTAGAAGTTGTTTGTGATTTTGCTTAGCATTTATACACTTTTATTATCTATTTTGTTAAAATTTTAAGTTTCCATGATTTTAATGCATTGATTTCTTTATCTAATAAAATTCACGATTTCGAAAATAATAAAGTTCATAATTAAGTTGGTAGTTCACCGTGGGCTTTCCTAACGACGACGTTGAGCGCTATCACGGCCTATTGGTATCAGAGCGTTAGGTTCACTTGGGTCTCACGAGTCATGAGCAAGTCTTGTAGAGTCTTGCGGATCGGTACGGAGACGTTTGTACTTATCTTTGAGAGGCTACGGGGCTGTTGGGAGCACTTCCCTTCTTGATTCCTCTTTGTGCTGTTTGATTCCATTGAATCTTATGCCTTCATTTCCTTCCTACTCAATCTTATGCGACATGGAGCGCTTGTTATTAATTGGGGCAGCGAGGAGTTATAGTAGTACTACAGATGTGGTGCATGATATTTCTCCCTATGTATTCGAGCAAGTTATTATCGTCGTCTTGTGGAAGGGGTTCTGTCATTCCAGCCCTGTATAAGTATTGCCTATGGTTTTGATGTTATGCACATATTGTTATGATGTTCGTGCGTTGTTATCGTGTTGTGTTATTGTGAATGGTAGATTGCTCATTTACGGGTCGCGGTAGTGTATGACTCGAAAGGTGGATTTCTCGGTTCATGGTTTAGAGGTTCGGCATTTAATTCCAGCGGAGGAAAGGCAATCAGACTATGGATGTTCAGGATTTGGGTGATGGAATAACGAGACTTAATATTTTCGAGCGTGGTGGAATTCTCATGTGTGATGTGGTGTCGTCGTCCTTATTTGAATGCATTAAGGTTCATCGGTGTTATGTTCTTCTTGATTTGCCTTCGGGGCAAGGTGTTGTGAAATTGTGTTTGA